GTCGATAAAACTGATCTAATTTCACTGGAGCCAGTTGGCTTGTGTTTGCAGACTGTGCCGAAGCCGCAAATGACTTTAACCAGGCTGAAGAGAGAGTGTGCGTGTGTGTGTGGAGCTTTTTTCTCTCTCTTTCTTTGGTGCCGTATGACGCTCTCCGGGGAGAACAGCAGGTCTGTTTCTCTTGACCTGCTAACTGGCACCCCTGGGGAGAGCAAATACTGTGGTCTAAAACACTTTCTGCCGACTTTGAGAATGGATGAGCTGGAGGTGTGAATTGTTTAATGCACAAATTACCACTAATATTTCATCCCTTTCCTATCATCCTTTCTGTGGGATCATCAGCGTCTTCCTGTCACCGTGAATAATGAGTTTTGTGGGTTTTTTTTTTCTTCTTTTCTGCTTATCTTTGTTTTGTTGAGACTGCACACATTATTAGTAAATACCGCAGCTGTTTGTCTCCTATATATATATATATAAGTGACACCAGATTGAGATAAAAAAAAGATTAATGTATTTTTAAACTATCGGGCCATTTGATTATTTTGGCTTGCTTTTTTGCTTTGAGAAATGCTTAAATATATTGTGGAAGTGTGTAAAGCAGTCGTTATACTTTGCTGCTATGATTCAAACTATTAGATTTTGCTCATTAAGCAGACCCCCTAGTTTTTCACAATATTTTTTGTAATTTTTTTTTTTCATTATTTTATTTTGCGATTAAAATGACTGATTTTGTGATGGTAATTCCCAGAAATTTCCCAGCGATTAAAAAATTATTATTATTTACCATATTTGGTAGTCTTTTATGTTAGGTGTGCAATCTGACACAATGACACTGACACAAATCATAAAAATAAAGCTTCTTTATTTTGGTGTCTTGTCAAGACAATATATAAAACAGTACGGCTTTAGCCAAAGGAAGGTTGTATAACTCTTTATTTTTTTCCAAGATCTTCCTCAGATTTTGACTTTAATTGTATATATAAATCAGAGGTCGCGTTAGACTTTCTCGTTGTCCGTCATTTTGACAGAGAGGGTTGTAAAATTTCCGTTATACCTTATTGATCGTTAGTTAATTTGCAGACTTTCTAATCGCTTTTTTCATTCATAGTTTAATAATGAACTTGCACGATGAGCAAATAGGCTAAATTATTCATTTATTTATTTGACAAATGAGCAAAAACTCCCGTCTGCCTTAACTTATATCTTCCTCCTGGGTCGACCTGAACTGGGTGCTTGCCTGTGCGTAATCAAACGCATCGAGGGAGACTGTCTTTGCCTCGAAAAGTTGACTTCTCGTGACCAAAGACTGGATTTATAGCGCCACTTCAGCCAGCGTTTTGTAGTTAGGAAACATTTCTGCTAAGGCTGTGATCAGAAAGTTTGCTGGATTCTCTGAATGTGGGATTTCCCGATCCTGTAAGCACTTACTTCACCTGGAAAAATTACTACAGCATGCGCTTCTTCTGCACCAGGTGCGTGGGTGCACCCCTTTGAGTCCGATAGGGCTCACAACGCACCCCAGATAGCAAAATACACTCGAGCCAGTTTCGCCTAGATCCTCACCTGCAGGAGACTCCGGCTGCCGTACTCGGGCCAGATGCCTGTGGACTCACTGCCCGATTCGAATTTGACCAGAGTCAATCGGGCCAGATGCTGCTGCCGTAAGTGAGCCAATGCTGCCGCATCCGATCCAGAATCGGCCTGTGAGTAATTTGCGCTACGGCCCAGAGCTGGTACGACTCAGTCTTCATATACCATCATATAAAACCTTTTGGTATTACATTGGTACTTGATACATGGTATTACAACCATTTGAATTTATATAACAGCAAATGCAGGCTATAATGTAAACACAAAGTGTAGGCACTGCGTTTATTCTTTGAATAAAATGCAAACAGCATACATCTTATAACAAAAATAATCAAAGGACAAAATAAATAATAATAAACATTTATTGATTGCAAGAAACAAATAATACTAAAAATGGATAACGTTAAATTATTTTGTAGTGCACAACAACATCAATATAAAAACAATAAACCCGACCTCCTTGCTAGCTGCCGCTTGGTTGAATCGGATTTTTGTCTGTTAGTTCTTCATCGTCTACTGCCTCACTTCCTCTTTTTTACAACTTTATTATTAATATCACAACTATTTGGCTGTTTAAAGAAACTTATCGCACTCAGCTGCTGTGACATTTTTGCAACTGTATGCAGCGGTGACAAAGAGGAGACAAAACAAGGGCAATCGTCATCATCTGGACAGGACTGGGAATTACAGTTAGCTACCAATTACAATAGATCACTCTCAGCATAATCCATCAAAATGACGGATCGCCTTCAGATTTTTCCGTCACTGTTGAAAAAATCTGTCAATGACGGAAAATATTCGGTTAACGCGACCTCTGATATAAAAATATATATAGAAATCTCTTCTGTATTTTAAGTGCTGATCCCAAATGAAATTAATTATCATTGTCCAAACTGTGAATGTGCTTCACATTTCTTATTTTGTGCTTCAACACAAGATTTGAATTACCACACTCCGAGGATTGATTCATGACCTTTGTGTCTGTAACTGAATCTCAAATAGGTCCCAGTCTCACAATGAATGCCTTTTGCTCAAAATAAATATATATCACAGAAGTCCATTGATTGAAAACCTGTTGCGTTGTCAGCATCAAGTGGTAAAGACTGCAAACAGACTCTTGTGATCAATGTTTCAGCATGGTATCAACTGAAATGCAGCTTTCAGTAAAATGTCACATCACATCATGTATGATAATGAGGCAGAACCTTTTCATTCAATAAAGCCATGCTGTCTCATGAATAGTTATTAGACATTGCAGTAGTGTATGCAGATATCTTGTGCATTAAATTTGAATCTACTTTATATCCCAATAATGTATTTTATGACACTAAAATAACTTTTATTATTTAATATTATTATTATTTTTATTTTACCCATACATAATGTACGTAAAAAAAATTATCTCTCTTCAGGTTGAAATAAATTATTTTTATTATATTTATTTAAAATTCATTTAATAACATTTTTAAAATTTATTTATTACATATTATTTATTCATTTATTTATTTTTATTTATATATGTTTTTATTGTAATGTTTGTGTTTTTAATTTATTTTATTTATTTCATTTTATTCATTTATTTTTATTTATATTTTTTATTTATTTTATTTTTTATTTATTGTTATCATACTTATTTGTAAAGATAAATTATTTCTATTCTATTCTATTTTGACAAAAAGAAAAAAAATGAAATTAACCAACATGTTGACTCTAACTTGAATAGTTATTAGACATTACAGTAGTGTTTTCAGATATTTTGTGATGCTAAATTTGAATATACTTTAAATCCCAATAATGTATTTTATGACACTAAAATAATTTGTATTATTTAATATATATATATATATATATATATATATATATATATATATATATATATATATATATATATATATATATATATATATATATATATATTTTTTTTTTTTTTTTTTTTTTTTTACCCATACATAAGGTACGTAAGGAAAATGGTCTCTCTTTAGGTTGTTTTCAGATGTTCTTGACATATGGTGTTGATATGCTGCAAAGTGACTTTGCTCTTTATTTTCATTAAGCAACCAATACACTGATGCAGCAAAGGAAGTTACATCAATATTTTGTTGTTCATCACAATGACGTGTTTGGCATTTTCCTCTTCGAGAGAGTTTCCACAAAGAGGTTGTTTTTTATTGTGTTTAGCTTTAAGATGTTGTATGAAATTTGCAATATTGAACAAAGTTCTATTGCCATCAAATTTTCACATAGTATTTCAGTTTGGGGGTGGCATGGTGGCTCAGTGATTAGCACTGTTGCCTTACAGCAAGAACATCGCTGGTTCGAGCCGTGGCTGGGTTAGTTGGCATTTCTGTGTGAAGTTTGCATGTTCTCCCCACGTTTGTGTGGGTTTCCTCTGGGTGCTCTATAATCCTATTACTTACTTTAGGAATTTTTGTAATGCGTAATAATGAAGGGGTTTTTAGTTTTACAACATGTATGTAGGGCTCAAAATACCGTCTGCTTACAGCCCATTTTCATCTACAATTAATCATGGTGGAGACATGAGCATTGAGATTTTCTCAATTAATTAAGCACTCCGCACTGCTCATTAGTGCTGAAATGGATCCATTAAATCTGTCGATGTGAATCAAATTAATCACTGGTATTAATCCCCAATTTTCACCGTCCCTATTGATGTTAGTTATTGACATATTAATTTTACTTTTCAGAACAGAGATTCAGTTGTGTTTGTAAAATAGTTTTCTTCTGTTATGTTATGATATTTTTTTTTCATTAAAAAAAATTACAATTGTATTAGTTTATATATATATATATATATATATATATATATATATATATATATATATATATATATATATATATATATATATAAACTAATTTATTTTTAATTGCACATTATTTTCATTATTTATTTTCAAAAATAAATATATTTTTTAAATTTGTTAATTTAATTACTTTTTTATTTATTAATTTAATTTAATAATTTTTTATGTATATATGTTTTATTTATTGTAGTTATATATAATTTATTTAATCTTATTTATTTTAATGTTTTCAATGTATTTTAGTTTTTATTCATTTTTATGTGCAAGTTATTTTTATTTTATTTATTTTAAAAATAAATATTGAATTTTTAAAAAGTAGTTTATTTAATAACATTTATTTATGTATTTATTACATTTTAATTATTACATTTTATTTATTTTTTATTTATACATTTTCTATTTATTGTTGTTTTAAATATTTGTATTTTCATTTTATTTCATTTATTTAGTTTTATTTATATTTTTTTATGTATTTTAGTTTTTTTTTTGTATTTCATCATATTTATTTATAAAATAAGTTAATAATTTCTTTACTATTCTTACAAATAAAAATAATAATTAACCATCATGTTAACTGTTTCTCCTCAGATGATGCAGTTTGCTTGGGACAATTACAAGCACTACGCCTGGGGATCCAACGAGCTGCGGCCTGTCTCCAAGCAAGGCCACTCCAGCAATTTGTTTGGTGAGTGACTGTCTATAGTGCTTTTTTGACCGTGAAACTATGATTCGTGCACGTACAGCTTCACGCCACACAGATAAATTGGTGAGCAGTCAGAAGTGTCCATCAACGCTGCACAGGTGCTTAGGTGACCTCTATCAGAAAGACTTTTGATTTCTCTCCGCTCCGTCTCACTTCACAAGCTCCGTCTGGATCTATTTCTGCTTTCAAGAGGACAAACAAAACCATTTCTGACTGCGTCGGGCAGGAATAGCTCGGACACATTGCGCAAATATAGTTTCACAAAATCCTTGATCTTCTCTGGTACCTTTTTACGCATTAATGTGTTTTCCTGCCTCTGAAGAAATGTTGTGCCCCTTTTGCTCGTCACCCTCTTGACCCATTTCTATTTTGAAGCTGAAAAGCGCAGGTTGTGAGTGGGCATGCAAATGCTTGAATAATTCATGAAGAACCGTCCATCTTCTTGGTAGGTTTGTAATATACGTCAATAACTCAAGGGGATGCAGGAACAACAATACATTATATCACACTGTTTTGCAGTGTGGAAGTTGTAATGGATCTTTTAGCTCCTCCTAAAGAAAAGTTTCAAAAGTTTTTAAACATACTAGGGCTGCCCAATATATGATTTCAGCATTGATATAGCAGTGTGCAGATCTGCAATAGTGGCATCGCAAGATATGCAATGTTCATTCTGAATTACAGTTGACCAAGCAGGAGCTACAGAATTGTATTTAATTACCAGACTACTGACAAAAGTCCTGTCGCCTATCCAAGTTTTAGGAACAACAAATAATTACTTGACTTCTAGTTGATCATTTGGTATCAGAAGTGACTAATATGAAAGAGAAAGGCCTCTAGATTACTCAAACTAAAATATGATCATGCCTTGATTTTTAATTATTTAATTAGGACAGTAAGGCTTAACTTTGTTTAGACAAAAGAAATAGAAATAAGACAGAAATAATGTACAGTATAGAATATAAAGTCATGGTGCAGTGGAGAAAGAATTGGTATCGTGTATGACTCCCATGAGCTTGGAGGACTGCATCCATACATCTTTTCAATGACTCAAATAACATATTAATAAAGTCATCTGGAACGGCAAAGAAAGCATTTTTGCAGGACTCCCAGAGTTCATCAAGATTCACTGAATTCATCTTAAATGCCTCCTCCTTCATCTTACCCCAGACATGCTCAATAATGTTCATGTCTGGTGACTGGGCTTGCCAATCCTGGAGGACCTTGACCTTCTTTGCTTTCTGGAACTTTAATGTGGAGGCTGAAGTATATGAGAAGAAGCACTATCCTGCTGAAGAATTTGTTATTTGTTGCTCGAACAACTGTGACCGACCACAAGGCTTTTGTCAGGTAGTGTATATTTATACGTATTTTATATAATTTATACAAAAAAAAAGTTTTATTACTTACATTTTTGACTTATTTCTAGTCTAAATATCTTCATTAAAAAAGTGAAAACAAGATTATTTTAATTACCCCAATAGCAGATGATTTTACTTGTTTTAAGGGAAAAAAGCTTTTATTACCTGAAGTAATAAAAGCATTTCTTTGTTTCTGTACCTGAATACTGTTAGACCCCCCAGAAAACTGTCAAGTAGTGCTATTCATATTGCAATATTTATTGCAGAAAAATAAAGTATCACCATATCAGATTTTTCCAATATCGTGCAGCCCTAAATCATACTATGAGAAAAATGGAACACATATTTCTAAAGGAATGACAAGCACTTAAATACATTTTAGCTTATTGTCCAAAACCAAAAATACTGTTTTTTTTCTCTAATAATAATGGTAATTCTCTTTGGCAGCTGTGATGCCTGATTACTGGATTAAACTTGGCACTCGACTTGGATCACTGATTAATTAACATTTCATTTTTTGCATGGCAGCCAACCTATTAGGTTTAATTGTTCATTGTAATTATAAGTTAATTGCATTTTTTAAGGGATTTAAACTGTTTTTGTACTTTTGATTGTTTCTTATTGTCAGTGCATTTGTGTGCAAATTGTGTACAAACTATGTTTAAGATATTGCTGGTGAGGGGCGATTGCATTGATAAAGTAAAACATCTGAATAAATTGTTTTTAAAGTTTTTATAATATCACTGTATATCTAGCTTTATTTATTTATTTTTTATTTATTTATTATTTTTTTTAGAATCTTGTATATTTTGTTGTATATCTTTTCAAAATTAAAACGGACCTACATGTTTGGAATATAATGCATTTATTTAAAGCTCTTGTATACCGAGTTGGTTTAATGCATTAAATCATTCTAGAATATCTACATAGTAGGTTTATGGCTTTAGTAAGTGAAAAAAATCTCCATGATAAAAGTTAAAAAAATCTTACCTATAGAATCAGAAGGTCCATGATTGACCATATATGGTTTGTGTCATGAATATTAATGAGCTCCGCTCTGACGTGCTGCTCTTACAGACAAACATGCACATCACAATGTACGCTTTTTCTAAACATTTGGCTTATCAAACACAGCTTGAGGCATTCATATTAATGATCTCAGAGCTTTTTTTTATGATATCAGAGCTGCATATGAGTCATGTTTTCTTGACAATGTGGTTGCTCATTAGGTCCGGATGAATGACCTAAATTAGGCATACATGCAAATGATAAGGGTGTGTCCCGTGAGTCTCATCACAGTTTGTTTTGTCTTTTGTTTGACCTGTTGTTCTTTGGAGTTTTACACTCGTGAAATTTACCTGAGAATGAGGAAGCAGTGGTGTCTGAGGTTTACAGTATACCCATTTTGATATGCTGGTCGTTTATTATTGTACTATGCCTTGGTGTACCCAGATTTTCATTTTATGGCAGGGGTTCCCAAACTTTTCAGCTCGTGACCCCCAAGAGAACAATTCCAGTGACTCACAACCCCCACTATTCTCGTAGGTGGTTATAAACATACAAACATTGTACACAACAGTGGACACACACCAATAGGAACTATATAAACAAGTTTATTGACAACACAAGGAAAGTGCACAAGTCTAACAACTATATATATATACATACTCATTATTATTTTTTTTAATTTAATATTAAACTCACTTAGTGATGGATTACTTTTCAGTGTTTGGACTCTCAGCAGTGAATATTAAAACACATTGAACTGAACTAATTTAAACTGAACTGAACTTAAACTCTAAAAACTGAACTACACTCTTTCTATGTAAAGCTGCTTTGACACAATCTACATTGTAAAAGCGCTATACAAATAAAGATGAATTGAATTAATGAGAATGGTGAGAACAATGTTTACTGGAAAAGACTTTTCTTGGTTTAATTTTGTAGACAACCACTTGAAAATCGGTCTTTGTTCAGTCGTGGCCTTTATTTTTAATGTACATGAGTGCTATAAAGATGTCAAAGATTAACATTGCGCTGTAAAATCAATCTGCTGCAACTTACACTATTGTTTTGTCATTAATCTAGTGTAATACCCCCAGGTGTCACAATCCAATGGAAAAAGAATTGAAAGGCTGATGGCTTTTTATTTGCATGTTGTTATTTTATGTAACTAGGGTTGTAACGGTATGAATTTTTTACGGTATGATAATCGTCTAAAACAATACCACGGTTTGACGGTTTCGCGGTATACGGTATGTTACAAATGTTACAAAATAATAGAACAGTGAAGCAAATTTGACTTTTTCCAAATAATATATTTTTAGTTACTATAAACAACACCACTTACAATGAACAAATAAAAAAATAAGTAAATAATAAATAATGTGTCAAAGTCCAAATAAAGTCCAAATAAACATGGTGCAAATCCTCAGTAAAAAATAGATATAAATATTTACTATACTATAAATAGTTACATAACGAAACTAGATTCAATATAGAACATCCTTAGGTTTTATGTGCCAGCATGGATATGGTTGTCTGTGGATATGGATTTGGATATGGTTGTCTGCAATGCAGACAAACAGCTGCACCTTCATTTGCGTCTTTTGAAAACAGCAAGAGCAGCAGTTCGTCTTTGCTGTGTCACTGTTTTGTCATGTTTCTGTGCTGCTGTGCATGCAAAAGTACTTAGTATGAGAATTATTTCATGCAAAACTTTTTTTTTGCGTTTTATTTTGCCGCGCATAAATGTATGCCTATCTCTCATTCCGTGTTGTTCAAAAAGCTTGGTCCACAAACAAAAGCGAAACCTATGCTTATTGGTTGTGATATAGCGAGTTTGAACCAATCTGGGCATGGAGGAGGGACAATGCATCAATGTATCATGTCTGGTTTGTCCGGAGACACAGTGACGAGCGTTTCTTTGTCAAATCAGCGTTGTCAAATTTTGATGACGTAACCGCACTGATTCTGGAGCCTCTGAAAGTCCGCGAATGGTATGTGATACAGCACTGGAAAGCTGAGATTCTCTTCTTTATGCCAATCTTTGAATTGTATGAATCAGCGGATCAAAAGTTATTAAACATTTAAGAGCAATACTTATTTTTAGCCGCGGGCGGCTGTCTCAGTCTTTAAGGGTTAAAACCGTTGATATGCAATTGTTCATGGTATGATAATCGTGCACGTTCAAATCGTGGTAAACCGTCATACCGGTATATTGTTACAACCCTATATGTAACTAATAAATACTATTTTTATCCTCTGTAGCTTATGGATAAAATAAAGTAACTCTGAAAGTTTAATAACATATATGATATTGTTGGAACAACATATATGTTGATATTCCAAAAATACCCCCCCTCCCCTTATTGTCACGTGACTATCTCCACTTTAGGAACCACTGTTTTAGGGCATTTTTAACTGATTAGGATAGTCAGTATAAAAAGTCAGATCTTTTATTAACTGTTATGCAGGTGTCATGAACACAGTTCAGTTTGTGGCAGGAATGTGGTGACAAACTGAATGTTATGAGGGTCACAGTGATTTATTTTATTTATTCATTTTTCATAACTTGCTGGCTAAATTTTGGTGCATGACTGTTACAATTCAAATAAAAAGAGG